CCCCAAAATGATGAAACAGGTAAACTTGTGCTAATAACACCTTAGATACTCAAATTTTGCAAATAATGGTATACTTTTTTGGGAGGAAATTTAGCAAAGTGTATGAGGAGTCTTTAACATCTCTGCTAAAAAAACAGCAGGAGAAAATTATTGATGTTTGATGTAATACTACACAAACATTAAAAATATTAGCCAAGACTTCAGTAACAATATGAAAATGTTATTCATTAAGCTTAAAACTCATCGTTTTTGATGGCTACATAATAGTCCATGGTGTATATGTGCCACATTTTCCCTTTCCAGTCTATCATTGATGGGCATTTGGGTTGGTTCCAGGTCTTTGCTATTGTAAACTGTGCTGCAATGAACATTCGTGTGCATGTCTCCTTATAGTAGAACGATTTATAATCATTTGGATATATACCCAGTAATGGGATTGCTGGGTCAAATGGAATTTCTATTTCTAGGTCCTTAAGGAATCACCACACTGTCTTCCACAATGGTTGAACTAATTTACACTCCCACCAACAGTGTAAAAGTGTTCCTATTTCTCCACATCCTCTCCAGCATCTGTTGTCTCCAGATTTTTTAATGATTGCCATTCTAACTGGCATGAGATGGTATCTCAATGTAGTTTTGATTTGCATTTCTCTAATGACCAGTGATGATGAGCATTTTTTCATATGTTTGTTGGCCTCATTTATGTCTTCTTTTGTAAAGTGTCTGTTTCCTTCGCCCACTTTTGAATGGGCTTGTTTGTTTTTTTCTTGTAAATCTGTTTTAGTTCTTTGTAGATTCTGGATATCAACCCTTTGTCAGATGGGTAGACTGCAAAAATTTTTTCCCATTCTGTTGGTTGCCGATTCGCTCTAATGACTGTTTCTTTTGCCGTGCAGAAGCTGTGGAGTTTGATTAGGTCCCATTTGTCTATTTTGGCTTTTGTTGCCAATGCTTTTGGTGTTTTGGTCATGAAGTCCTTGCCTAAGCCTATGTCCTGAATGGTTTTGCCTAGATTTTCTTCTAAGGTTTTTATGGTGTTAGGTCCTATGTTTAAGTCTTTAATCCATCTGGTAATTCCACAATTTTTAAACAGAAAACTCTGTTTTCTTAACCAATTACATACCAATTGTTTCTGTTTTGATTTTCTTTTTTTGTAGAAAGATTTTTAATTATAAATTCATGGCTGTCAATATTGATTTTTATTTTTTTTCTATTAATTTTTAAGTTTCTGTTGAATCTGTAGTTATGTCACTTCTTTCTTTAATGAATTGATCATTTGTAATGTTTCTTCTTTTTTGGATCAACCTTACTATGTGCTTGTTGGTTTATTAATCTTTACAAAGAACCAACAATAGGATGTTAGTCAAATTGCTCTTCTTAGGATGGAAGTGTATATCATTGATGTTTAACTTTTTTTCTAATATCAATTTAAAGCTACATTTCTTCCTCTAAATACTACTAGAAATTCATCCACAAATAATAGTTAACTTTGAACTATTTTTCAATTTTCTTCTAAATTTCTCATTTGATTTGTGATTTATTAACATTTATAAATTTTTCTTATATTTGTGGTGGGAAAATATTATCTTTATTATTTCAGTCATTCAGCATTTATTGAGACTTGCTTATGGCCCAGAATACCATCTTAGTCATTGTTCAGCACACTAATAGAAAATTTATCTTGTAATTTTAAGTGTTATATCCTCTATATGACAGACAAATTGTTTGACAGTGTTAAAATATTTTATTTGTATTGAATTGTGCCTACTTTTTCTCTCAATAAGCAAGAATGGAGTATTAAACTCTCCCCCATGTTAACGGATTTGCCAATTTCCCCCTTTAATATTTCCAATTTTTGCCTCATATATTCTAAAATTCAGTTATTTGATGTAGTTTTGAATTATTGTGTCTATTTAATACATTGACCCTGTTATCATTATAAATATCTGTTTATCGCTATTCATACTCTTTATTTGAAGTCTACTTTTTTTCTGACATTAGTATGACCACAGAGGTTTTCTTCTGATTACTGTTTGCATGGCATGTATTTTCCATCTTTTTAATTTCCGTACATATATGTGTTTATATTTAATATGTATTTCATATAAATAACATAAAGTATTGTCTTCTTAAAAAATCCATGTTCTAATCTCTGTCTTTAACTGGAGTGTTTAGTCTGTTTATATTTCATATAATTATTGACATCGTTGTATTTTAATCTACCATATTGTTATTTGTTTCTTATTTGTACCATCTTCTTCAGTTTCTTACTGTTTATATTATTTTTATTTAGCTAGTTAGTCATACTGGTTATTCTATGGGAGTGGTTCTCAAGCTTCTTGGCCTCAGCACCTGTCTATACTCTTAAATGTTAATGATGATCCTAAACAGCTTTTGCTTATGTGGATTACAGCTATCAGTATTTATCTTACTAGGAATTAAAATGATCTTTTTAAAACGCAAGAATACACAGCAATGTTAGCCTACCAAGTATTGTAAGAATCTCCGTTTCCAGGCACTCCAGCCCGTAAGATTGCTCACTACCTTTCACGTGAGACAGGATGACTGTAACTCAATGAATGCAAACTATTAGCAAAAGAACACCATAGCATACAAATGTACTATTTATAGGCCGTATCTGTCATTGGAATAACATCCAAATCCACAGAGGTGTTGTGGAAGTTACTCTGGATCCTATTTTTAAAGAAAGATTTGCTATACCAGAATGTATATTTTGGACCAAGTTGAAAGTATAGGGAGGTTTCTATTAATCTATCTGAATGAATAATTCCAAGAAATACATTCATGAACTAGCAGGAGAGAGTATCTAGAAAGTTAGTATATAAGCCAACTCATGCAGACAAGGAGTTTCTTACACAATCGAACCAGTCTGGAAAAGTGGCTAGGTATTTGTGTTTGTCAAGGGTCCTTAACTCCATTTTATTTTCCAAAATAGATTTCCTACAGATTGGAATTGAGGCTAAACTGTGGCTAACCAGGGAGATGTTACCGGTCTTTGAGGCAGTAAATAGGAGACCAACAGAAAATCTTTAGGATGTTCCTTTTGGGGTCATCTATCTTTTTAATGACCTAGACTACTTGATTGACTGCTTAATGGCATTTAAATAGGTAATAAAATAAATAACCAGGATGACTACGTCCATGTTTTCAAACTTGCACCCAAAGAAATGAGATACAAACTTTTAGACATGCACATGGACATTCAAAAAGCAGTTACAACAAGCAATTCACAAAAATTATCTTGAGCAGCAGTGGGAAATCAGAGTTATATGAAAAATATGACTGCTGATATTATTTGTTTTATCACTTCACAGATTTGTTTTAAAGGTCACCTGAGTTACCACATATCATGTGTATAATAAACATTAACTACTATTATTATGGGAAAAGCTGGTCTTACTAGTTTTCACCAAGACTCCATGGAGCCAAATGATTTGCTGCAGAGTTCACAGTTAATAAGTGCTAAAGACAAGATTTGAGCTAAAGACTTATGATTCAAAATTCAGCCTTCTTTCCAAACACTATGATGCCAATTACATAGGACAAATTTCTTTGGTCTAATTTATCCCAAATTAGTTTATATAGAAGAAAAGATAATAATTTCTACCCAGTGAAATAAAAAATTTAATTAAAATGACCATTCAAATCACAAGATACAAAATGCAATGGGTTGAAAATGTGCTTAGCATATTATTTGTAATTACTTTATTTATAAGACTTGCATCTGAAAATTATTTACTTTATAACCTGCATTTATATAATATAACTGGGCATTAATTTAAGTATTTTTTTTCTGTCTTAGAAATTAGTGGTGAACTACAGTTGATAGCACAATTATTTAAGTTACATGTTAGTCCAAATGTATGGAACTCAGTTTTGGAAATATTACTTCTGGTTCCTGAATACATTTGCCAATGTGAGCAAATGGTGACAAGTTCTAATTACAGTTATTATAGTGGAGAAAAAAAGAGTAATCACCTCTGGAGGCTCTGGAAAAAATCCTTCAGGGATTTTTGCTGCTTGGTTGAATCAAACATGTTTTGTTACCACATGAACTTCAATGGAACCTGATTCTAAAAGTATCCTTGCTGCTCAAGACACATTTTCTAAAATCTAAACCACAAGTAAATTACTTAGAAAATTTGAGACTGATATAAAACTGTAGAATAAGTTAGCATAAATATATTTGATAATGGGAAGTTTTAAAGGATGACAGCTTTCTTCAGCTTTCTTATACTTTTTGGAATTATACTGTTAAGTTTCCTCTCTAGAGTGAAAATTATGCTAGTTCACACAAAACCTGTTTAAGAAACACAACTAGAAACAAGTTGTTCTTACACTTGGGTGGTGAGACAGTTCTGTAGGAGGCATAATAAAATCATGTGCTTTGCTGACAGTTCTAGACAGGCAGAAATAACGTGTGCATCGTTACTCCATTAAGACAACTGTCTTCTGTGTGGTTAAAATTTCAAAATAGGAATCACCACACTGATGCATTTTCTTCTTAGTAAATGTGGGCTCTACTTACCTATATAAGGATTTCATTCTTTGGCATTTTTTTCCAGAATTAATATTCCAGCAAAGATAGAAACTTGCCATTCGTGTTTGTTATGTTAACATCTTCATTATTCCCTTTTTCTACTTTAAACACAAGCATGTTCAAAACCATTTTCTACTTAACATTTAGGCCTGCAGTCACTATGACATTATGTCTTTTTAAAATGGACAAGAGGATACACTGGAAGTTGAATCCCACTTCAGTATAACAAACTAAACCAGAAGGCAGTTGTTTTGAAGTTCCATTATATTAACATAATCCCAAGATGATTCTTTCCTAAAGGTTGCCTAAAGTCTTTTTTGAATAGTATTTCATTATTCTATACCCACACACATGTAAAATATACATATATGTGGATGTAGTCACAATACTTAGATGTGTACTCATTTTAAAGTGTATTTTAAAAGCATGATAAACTCACCTTAGAAAGTCCACCGACTTCCAAATAAAAGCAGATAATGAACGCATTCCAGGTGACCCAGAGGGCAGTCCACACTGTATACTAGATAGAAAGGTGGGAGGGAGAAAGAGAAGAAAAATGTGGAGATGAAAGGCATGTATATCAAATAAATCAATAATAAAAATGTCAATAGGTCTATCTTCTGGGAAGAAACAGACAGAAAGCACTCAAAAAAGAATGCTCTCTATGTGGTGGTCCCCTAAGCTCTCCAGAAATTAAAAATCCGATAGTTCCTACTGTTTTCAGTAGATACCAATAAAGCTAGATTTACTTTTAAAGTGCTTTGCTGGCTTGCAGGTACAAGTTAAACTCAAGTGTTCATTTGATTTCTGTTTTCTGAGTATTATCTTTTCTGAGGAACACAATTAGGCAAATCATCCTGTAAGCTCTCTATCATCTTTAAGTTATAATATAAAACCATCACATTTTAAGAAATGTTTATTGAAACCTAGCACTGAAAGAAGACCATGTTTGAAAATAAATGCATGGAGTACAAAATTAGCAAACTTTCATCGGTTGGACTATTTTATTAAGAGTAGAAGGTATGCCTCTAATATGACCATATAATAATAAAAATATAATCTTATAAAATAGTTTTAAAGCAGAGAAATTAATAAATTAATAAATAGGATTAAGAATTAGAAAACAACAGATTTCCATATCTTCCAATCATATCCATTCAACAAATTTTAAACCTACGTGTCTTACTGATTAATTGATTTTATCCAGGTATTATGTATTAGGAAACACCTTCTCCCAGAGCATTAGTCAGTCTCAATTAAGGTAGTCCTAGATTGAGAGACTCATTGATAGAGAATCAATGATTGGACTAGGGCTCCCCTCATCCAGTCACTTTCTTATGCAGACAAGAAATTGAGGCCCAGAAAACTGACATACAGAACAGCTAGGATGACTGAGGATGGTACTTACTGTAGAACACAAATAACATATAAAATACATTACTTTCCCTATTCATTTTATTTTATCACAAAAATGCATGAATTCTTAATGTCTTAGGTAGATATTAATTGAATTATTGCTACCAATGATTACAATCATTGTACACTATTTTTAAATTGAAATATTGAAATCATTTCCTTAGCTTATTCTATGCTGTCAAATAATCAAATTATAAATTTTAGACACTGTATAATATAGCCATATTGCTAGTACAAACTTTATCAGAAGCTTTTAACTACTTATGAAATTTAATTTATATTATATATTCTGTCATTTATGAATATTTAAGGGCTTTCAAAATAATCTCATGTAGTAGGGTAGTGCTATAATTGGTTACATTTAATGTTCCATAATATAACTGTTTTTCTGACAGAAGATTTGCTTGCTATTTATTTATTTAGAGATGGAGTTTTGCTCTTGTTGCCCAGGTTGGAGGGTGTGATCTTGGCTCACGGCGAGCTCCACCTCCCATGTTCAAGCCATTCTCCTGCCTCAGCCTCCTCAGTAGCTGGGATTATAAGCATGCACCACCACGCCCAGATAATTTTGTATTTTTAGAAGAGACAGGGTTTCTCCATGTTGGTAAGTCTGGTCTCAAACACCCGACATCAGGTGATCCACCTGCCTCGGCCTTCCAAAGTGCTGGGATTATGCGTGCGAGCCACTGCGCCAGGCCTGCTTTTATTTTTAAGAATAATACAATTATAATTATGAGTTAAACCTCGAAATCACTGGAAATTTAGTTGGAAAATGTTAAAAAGTTAACATAAGTAAAAATATATAGTGAGATATTTGGTATATGCAGATATTGCTGATGTTGCAATATATGCTGTTCATAAAGTCTTCTAGTGTGAGTGGACTTGGTAAATTTGAACTTTCAATAAGATTTAAAGCTCTTCCTAACAAGATGGCATCTGGTATCTGCTATCTTCCATTCTAAATAAATCTAATTATAAGTATATTGAAATCCGAGAGCATTGCTAACCTCTAAATCATGAGACAAAAGTCACTGGAAAAGGTTAGGGAAAAAACATAAAATAAAGCAATATTAAAGTAAGGTAACAAACTAAATTAATTACAAAGCCATGTGATAGAACTTAATTATTAGGACTAATTCCTAAACCTACAGGTATTTTTTTAGAGAATCAATTCATAGTGATAACAAATGCATAATAAAACACATCTATTTAAAGATCATAGCGCAAACTTGGTGACTGAAGTGTATTCAGGATCTCTCAAAAGTTGTACTATTGATGGTACTTCTGAACTTGCAAAGGCAAAATTACCAGGCTAAGTAAACCTCGACTGTCAGTTCCTATGTTTTTGACAGTAATAGGGTTATTATCCGGTTCTTTCTGTGTTCCTGGTACTATGCTAAGTGCTTTACGTAGATCATGTTGTTCAATCATCACCCTTAAACCGAGGTAGAGGGATAATCATTTAATCACCTATTTAGTGTTGGAGTTAGGATTTGACATCTGATAGTTTGATTCCAGAGCTGGGATGTTTAAGCATTCCAAGGTAGGCTTTATTCTAAAAGATTTTAGTAAAAGAATTAAAGATTCAGGACAAAATAATCCATCACTCAATTAAGAAATTTGTCAAATCATCAATTCACCAAATTACCAGTTTGCCTCAAATTTTTATTCATATCTGCTCTATAATTGGCAATTAATTTTAGAATGACAGTATATTTTATATTTTACAATGAGTGTGACTTCCACAATATGGAATTCATGTGTTGTTTGTTTTAGCAACATTGCATAATATCTTCTAATACATTTACAAGTTTTTTCTAATAAATTTGTGTTTCTTTGCTGAGAACAAAGAAAATATATATTTTTTATTTTTAAACTGTTATAAGATATAAACTACATCTTATTGTGCACTTGAGACACAAATCTGATCATGGGTGTAAGAGAAAAGAGATATCTAGAGATATAAATATGTCATAGAAATCTAGCTAGGCAGGAAGTATTGGGATAACCAATGACCAAAGAGACTGCCTATCCTCCCGATCATCTTTCTGAAGTGTATTATTTTATTTATAATTCAACTGAAGCAATAATTTAAAAAGTAAGACTCTCCATTTTTAAGAAATACCCTATGGTTATTATAAAGCAGGCTTACATCGTATATTTAGGTAGATTAAATATACTTGTAGTAAAGAAAGCTTTTTAATATAAGGGAAAAAATCACTCTCTGCATAATCTCTCCCTCTCTCTTCTACTTTGCTTATGTTTACTATATACATTTAAAATCCAAATCCATATAGACAAAGCCTATAATAATGAAAAAGAATGTTTATGCATTCTGACTTCTTAAATATATTCTAGTTTTACAAGGATATTTCAGCATTTTTTAATGGAAATGGACATCTTCCAGCCTATTTCTTCTACATCGAGCAATTAGTTTATAATATGAATTATTTTAAATTTCTGAGCTTGCATATTTTCCAATTATGAGAAAGGCCATTCATTCATTCTTTCATCTACAAATCAATTTGCTATAATATTATATGCAATATGCTAGACTTAGAATAAAAAAGTAGAGTAAGTTTCTTGCTTAGTCATTGTTGTAACATTTTCTAGCAGAGTAAACGGGAAAAAAAGACACATGTGCAGCTCAAACATTTGTCAAGCATTTACTCTGTATTTGGCTATCATAAGCAAGTCACATACATCATATAATTCTTTAAAATGATCTATGGGTCAGGTTTTTACAGATGAGGTAACTATGGCAAAAACAAAGCAAATAAATGTCCTGAGGCTTCACAGCCAATAATTGGTGAAGAGGAATTTAAGTGTGATGTTTACCAATTGAATCAAAACCTAACACTCAACTTCACGTTGAGCAGTGACTCCAGAATGGGATTTATGCTGACATAGTAGGACAATATTGCTATACAACAGTTCAGATTAAAAGGAGTTGTCCTTTGTATATAAGCATTTGCACAAAAGTCCAAATAACTAATTTATGGAATTTTCAAACTTACTTGACCCTTTAAAATTTTTAAAGGCTGTTAAATTTTGTCAAAGACCTTCTCTGCATCTATTGAGGTAATCATGTGGTTTCTGTCTTTGGTTCTCTTTATGTGATGGATTATGTTTATAGATTTGAATATTTTGAAACAGCCTTTTATCCCCAGGATGAAACCTACTTGATCATGGATAGCTTTTTGATCTACTGTTGCATTCAGTTTGCCAGTATTTTATTGAAGATTTTTGCATCGATGTTCATCATGGATATTTGGCTGAAATTTTCTTTTTTAGTTGTATCTCTGCCATGTTTTGGTATCAGGATGATGTTGGTCTCATAAAATGAGTTAGGGAGTATTCCCTCTTTTTGTATTGTTTTGAATAGTTTCAGAAGGAATGATGTCAGTTCCTCTTTGTACGTTTGGTAGAATTCAGCTGTGAACCTGACTGGACCTGAGCTTTTTTTGGTTGGTAGACTATTAATTGCTGCCTCAGCAGCCCTTTATGCTAAAAATGCTCAGTAAACTAGGTATCAATGGGACGTATCTTAAAACAATAAAAGCTATTTATGACAAACCCACAGGTAATATCATACTGAATGGGCAAAAACTGGAAGTGTTCCCTTTGAAAACTGGCACTAGATTAGGATGCCCTCTCTCACCACTCCTACTCAATATAGTATTGGAAGTTCTAGCCAGAGCAATCAGACAAGAAAAAGAAATAAAGCGTATTCAGTTAGGAAAAGAGGAAGTCAAATTTTTTCCATTTGCAGATGACATGATTGTATATTTAGAAGATCCCATCATTTCAGCCCCAAATCTCCTTAAGATGATAAGCAACTTCAGCAAAGTCTCAGGATACAAAATCAACAGGCAGAAATCACAAGCATTCCTATACGCCAATAACAGACAAACAGAGAGACAAATCATGAGTGAACTCCCATTCACAATTGCTACAAAGAGAATAAAATACCTAGGAATACAACTAACAAAGGATGTGAAGGACCTCTTCAAGGAGAGCTACGAACTACTACTCAAGGAAATGAGAGGACACAAACAAATGGAAAAACATTCCATGCTCATGGATAGGAAGACTTAATATCAT